TATATTATATTTTTATTATAATATTTCCAGGTCATTTCATTGTTTGTTTGTTCTTAACTTTCTTTCTTTTTCTTTTTTCTCCTCACTAATTTTCTTGTTTTTAATTTTCTCTCCTTTTTTTGCAATTTTTGGGTTTCAAAAGTGAAACTGATTTTCATCAACACAAAACAGACTTAATTCAAAGTTTGGGGAAACAAAAAAACTCACAAAATCTATCTTGGTTTGTCTCTCCAGTGTTACGTCAATAACCAGCTGTGGTTTTATTGAAATTCACCCTTAATTCACCCAGTTAGATGTGAAAATATTCTGCCTCTGTACACACTAAAGTAACTTTATTTAAATAGAATCTGGTGGGTTTGGCGATGTCAGTTTTGGGGCTGTTTCTGGTTAAACAAAAAGGTCTGTCTCTGTAGGGATCCTTTCCATAATGTTGTCAGACACTTAAAATAACAATCTGAGCCTGTCAGAGGCAAAAACAAAGACTTTTGATTGAAGTAAACTCAGCCACATCCCTCAGTAGTTTTTTTTTTTTGTTGTTGTTTTGTTTTGTTTTTTCATTGCAGCCTGTTTCGCCACTGCCGTCTAAAGCACTCAGCAGGTGTTTGTGTAATTTATGCTTCTCATTGTCAAACCAGTCAGATCAGTAGAAGCAGTAGAAACCAAAAAGTCAGCAGGTGGACAATTTTAAAATTACAAATGTAAGGTGAGTCACATGTCTGTTATTTTTCAGATGTGTCCATTGGAGACAAAAAGCTCTCAGCCATCTTGGGGGAGCTGATTTGGGAGGAAATTTCCCAGTGCATCATCCATGAGTGTCTGCTCTACTCCATCCCCACCAACAGCAGCCAGCTGGAGAAATACAACACTGTATGAACAACAGCAGTTTGTTTATTATAATGATGTTGTAACGCACACACAGTTACATTTTTACTGAATATATTCGTTATTGGATGTGCTCCAGGTGATCAAAGAAACTGAGGAGTTTGAGAAGTCTCTGAAGGAGATGGAGTATCTACAGGGCGACTCCACTGACCTGCTCAAATATGCAAGAGACGTCAACTGTCACTTTGCCAGCAAGAAGTGCAAAGATGTCATCGTGGCGGCGCGCAAACTCATGACCTCCAAGATGCACAACACTGTTAAAGTATGTGTGAGCTTGAGCTGAGTGTGAATCAGCTGGAGAATCTGCTGTAGCTAGAAATGGAAAACAGGAAACATTTTACATGCATGTTTTTTACAAAGTCAAAGTCTTAAAAGCAAACGTTAACAAGACTTTTACCTAAGTTAGCAACAATAGTCCCCGACCTTGAAGCCTTTTCTCACTATTGTAAAAGTGAAGAATTAAAGCAGCCTCTTTCTGTTTTAACACAACTCAAATACCACATTTGTGCCTCTGCTTCTTCATTCTGCTCTTGGAATTGGTTACACTGATTTTCTCTGGCTCCCCATCATGGTATTCTGTTACACCGATCATTTTTTTGCTGTCGGGAATTTGGTATTTGAGGATGCATTTCAAAACATGTTACACTAAGCTGTCACAGGTTAAACTTGTGCGCTAAATCGGCATTCGATTGCACTATACTGTAGTTCAGCTTAGCATGAATTGTCCCCATAAATCTCCAGATGCTCTTTGATTTCTTATCTAATTGTAATTTGCTTTCTTTTTTTTTTTTTTCAATCTTCCTCTGTTAGATCACACCAGACTACAAGCTGCGTCTTCCCAAGCTGCCTCCTCCAGCTTCAGAACAGAAGGTAAAACAAGAGAGCACAAAGGATGAGCTGACGATGGAGAACGCAAAGCAGCTGTCTGCATGGAGTCTGTGTCTGCCAGCCTGTCGCATCAGCGAGTCAGTGCAGCAGCTGATGGAGCTGGCGCTCAACACCTTGTGCGAAGCCGTCGGAAGCTCCACACAATGGTATGTTACAGTGCTCAGACCCTACTGTGGTATTTTGGTACCATATAAAGCACTTGTGTTGTAGTTTTGTGTGTATGAAAAGTGCTATACAAATAACATCTGACTGATTTAAATGGAATATGCTGGATTTGGCAAATGCAATTTCAGGGCAGTTTCTTGTCGAACACTAAAGATCTTTCTCGTTAATAAAAAGGTCTATCTCTGTAGGGATCATTTTCATTTTGTTGTCTCACACTTACAATAATAGTCTAAGTCTGTCAGAGGCAAAAACAAGCATGCTTAGTGGACGTAAATGGGCGGTGCATAATTGCCCCTCGTTGTTACATTGCATTGTCTTCACCGGATCCTGCCATTTTTATACTGTATCTCAATAGTTTGTTTTATTTTTTGGCCACTGGGTGGGAATGTTTGAATCACGTCAGAGCATCATCAGTAAGTGTTAAAGAATACAACCAATCTTCCTGTATTTGTTCTTTCCAGTGCATTACAACTCTTCTTCACTGTGAGAAACATCTTCCAGCTGTTCTACGATGTCGTACCGACGTACCACAAGTAAGGATGTTTCCATTATCCAACACAGCAAGATCACACTGACACATTTCCCCTGCAGGTGCTAACTGTTGTCTCTTGTTTGTCTGCGACTCTATCCAGGGAGAACCTGCTCAAGTTCCCTCACCTGGCTGCCATCCAGCACAACAACTGCATGTACCTGGCCCACCACCTGCTCACCCTGGGCCACCATTTCAGATCTCACCTGCCGCAGCCCCTCAGCGAGGGCGTTGCCACATTTGTTGACATGGTGCCCGGATTCAGGAAACTGGGTAAAGAAACAGAATTTGCGCTTCTTCATATGAAATATCAACATCAAATCTGCAGATTCCCCTCGAAATATGCTGAGCGCCTTGTCGTCTTTTTCCTTCAGGTGCTCAGTGTTTCTTGGCTCAGATGAACGTTCAGAGAGCTGAACTGTTGGAGAGACTTTCCACTGCTCACAATTTCTGTAACCTGGATGATGAAGACAACTACATTGCAGCAAGCAAAGCAGTAAGACAGGTGAGAGGAAAGGCCCTGAAAATAATATGTAATTTTGATGTAATAGCAAGAGTGTAGCATGTAGGGCTGCCCCCGACGAAGAATTTTCCTAGTCAGCCAACAGTCATCATTTAGGTCCATTAGTCGACTAGTCTCCTGCATGTTTCTGATATGAATGTAATGATTAAATGATATATTTTGGTGGTTTGAGTTGAAGGTGTGAGAAAGAATAGTATCAGTAACATTGTTAACACTGTGCTACATTACAGAGAAATACAAAAGCGTACTAATGAACCTTCATTAATATAGGCCTATATTTTATCTACAAGTGCACGTCACACACTGAGCGAGCCGCCTGTTAATGACGCTGTGGGCTAATGGGCATGTAGCTACTTCCATGTTTCAGATG